CCGTCCACCGAGCGCAGTGAGGCGGATATATCGGAGCGGTTTCTAGCCGAGAGCGGGGCATTCCAGGACTTCGTCAGCTCTGTGTGAAGTTCAGGCAGGAATGGGGCGTTCGACGGCCTGTGAGAGGAGGCGCATTAGTTCCTCCTCTATCCCGGCGCGGATCCCCGCCGACTCTCTCGTGGATCCGAGAGATGACCATTCTTCACTGTCTGATGCGAGCAGTGAACAGGAGTCCTTCTCCTCCGCGGCGTCATCGGAAGCGACAGAGCGGCCACTCGGCGGCAACTGTATGTCCGGCAGGGGCGGGGAGGGAGAGCGGGAAGCGGGAAGCGGCGGCGGCGGCCCGCATGGTTCCGCAGGGGGCTCCGGCGGCCTCTGGGAGCGGCGTTTCTTCTTACGCGGCGAAGAGGGAGGCGGCGCCGGAGCGGATTTTGCTGCCAGAAGTCGTGCCCGTAGGGACGACAACGGCAGGCTCTCACAGAAGTCGCATCCTCCATCCGCGAGGGCGAGTTCTGCGTGCTCGAGTCCCAGGCAGAGAGCGCAGATGACATGGCGGTCTCCGTCCTCGAGACGAGCGCGGCAAGAGCCGCAGGAAAAACGAGACATCTTTAAAAAGACGCTCGGCTCTTTTAGATATAAATAGAGAAAAGAGAAGGATACAGTCGTCGGATGGCGCTAGCTTGCAGGGCGGCTGAAGGTGGCGAAGACGGCCGGCTTCTTCAGGGTCCGGGAGCTCGCTAGAGTGATGCCTTCTCGACGGCGACGGCTTTTCTCAGGACAGCAGAAGCGTGCAGCTTGCTGAAGATGAAATGAATCAACATATAAGCCTGGGAGAGACTGTTATATACACCATAGCCACGCCCATTCTGGCGGGCCATGACGCAATGAGCGCGCGGGCGCCTCTCATTGGAAGCGGGTTCAGCCCCGCTCTCCCATAGGCTTAAGCAGTTCTCTCTGAGCGAACCAATGAGCTGCTAGCTAGCCTGCTCTAGGTCTGCCGCAGAGGAACTGCGTTGTCAATGGATACAAATTATGAAATAATTTTTTGGCTTCAATATCTCAGCAAAGATGAATCTTTCCCGCAGCGTAAGCTAGCTTACGCAATACGAGAGAACCTCTCGTAAGAGAACTCGTCCTTTACTATTTTTTGTAACATTGGTAACACTTTTGTAACATAAAACATTGCTATTTTGGTAACATTATTTGAATCCACAGACTTTCTAAATCGCCCACATATGCAGTTCTGTGAAGTCTGATTATTTATTAGTCGGTTTATTTAAATGAACCAGTTCCAAATAAATCATTTAACAAACATTACTAAACAAACAAACAAATGCATACATAAATGTATATATAATACAAACATTCATTACATTTTCTTTACCGTAGCAGTGTACAAAATATTTATTCATCAAGATATTTAATCATCAATTCTACAAATGTTTTTTTTATTTTAAATAAGTTAAATGCCAACTAAATGACTGTTTGTTTTATTGGTGGGTTTCAATGTAAATAAATATGTTTAAATGCAGTTTAATTCTGTCACCCTAATTAGGAATCTTGATTGTTTTCTGAAATACACTCACCGGCCACTTTATTAGGTACCCCATGCTAGTAACGGGTTGGACCCCCTTTTGCCTTCAGAACTGCCTCAATTCTTCGTGGCATAGATTCAACAAGGTGCTGGAAGCATTCCTCAGGGAGTTTGGTCCATATTGACATGATGGCATCACACAGTTGCCGCAGATTTGTCGGCTGCACATCCATGATGCGAATCTCCCGTTCCACCACATCCCAAAGATGCTCTATTGGGTTGAGATCTGGTGACTGTGGAGGCCATTTTAGTACAGTGAACTCATTGTCATGTTCAAGAAACCAATTTGAAATGATTAGAGCTTTGTGACATGGTGGAAGTAGCCATCAGAGGATGGGTACATGGTGGCCATAAAGGGATGGACATGGTCAGAAACAATGCTCAGGTAGGCCGTGGCATTTAAACGATGCCCAATTGGCACTAAGGGGCCTAAAGTGTGCCAGGAAAACATCCCCCACACCATTACACCACCACCACCAGCCTGCACAGTGGTAACAAGGCATGATGGTTCCATGTTCTCATTCTGTTTACGCCAAATTCTGACTCTAACATCTGAATGTCTCAACAGAAATCGAGACTCATCAGACCAGGCAACATTTTTCCAGTCTTCAACTGTTCAATTTTGGTGAGCTCTTGCAAATTGTAGCCTCTTTTTCCTATTTGTAGTGGAGATGAGTGGTACCCGGTGGAGTCTTCTGCTGTTGTAGCCCATCCGCCTCAAGGTTGTGCGTGTTGTGGCTTCACAAATGCTTTGCTGCATACCTCGGTTGTAACGAGTGGTTATTTCAGTCACTGTTGCCCTTCTATCAGCTCGAACCAGTCTGGCCATTCTCCTCTGACCTCTGGCATCAACAAGGCATTTCCGCCCACAGAACTGCCGCTCACTGGATGTTTTTTCTTTTTCGGACCATTCTCTGTAAACCCTAGAGATGGTTGTGCGTGAAAATCCCAGTAGATTAGCAGTTTCTGAAATACTCAGACCAGCCCTTCTGGCACCAACAATCATGCCACGTTCAAAGTCACTCAAATCAACTTTCTTCCCCATACTGATGCTCGGTTTGAACTGCAGGAGATTGTCTTGACCATGTCTACATGCCTAAATGCACTGAGTTGCCGCCATGTGATTGGCTGCTTAGAAATTAAGTGTTAACGAGCAGTTGGACAGGTGTACCTAATAAAGTGGCCGGTGAGTGTAGTTTTCTGGTTTCCTGACCCACTGAAAAATAATTGTTTGTTTGATAAGATACAGTTGTAAAGTAGCTTCCTCAACATGCGTAGACGGATTGCAATTTCTGATTGACTTAATAAGAGAAAAATAATGTTATTCTTAGACAGTAATATATGCTGCTTGTTGGCAGCTTTGAAACTGTGCCTAAAAGATACACATAAATTAATTCAGTGACAAAACGGTAACGCTTCCTTTTACAGTCCTGTTACCCATGTACATACTATGTACTTATTATAGTAATTACAATTACTGGGTAATAACTAGGTACTAACCCTGAACCTACCCCTAACCCATGTACTTACCTTATATTAGCCAGTACTTTCTAGGTAAGTACACGGTAAGTACACGTAAGTACTGTAAAAGGAAGCGTTACCGACAATGAAACCCCATCTCCCTCAGCCAGCTGATGTGGCATCTATGAGCCGGAGTGCCAGAACACACTGAGCTTTAACAGGGTAAAATACATCATTCAGCCACGGGTAATTACTGGAAAAACTCTCTGTCACTCCCAAGCCTTCCATGAGATGAGGCTCAGGAACGCCTCCTTGATTTCACTCATAATAAAAGTTCATTCTCGGAACGGTGATATTACAGTGTGGCTTTTTTAAGTGGGTATTGAGAGAGAAGAACGCGATGGGTCAAAGCTTGGGTTGATAGTTAAGAATAAATGAGAGAAGGAAATATCTATTGAAATTCACAAGCATGCTGTGCTTTGCGTTCAGAAGGCGAGAGAATGCCAACTGAAGCAGTTTCACACCATTACCCTGATTAAAGGCTGAATAGATGGAGCTAGCATTCAAAATTATGCGACGTCTGCTTCGGACAAGCTAAATCAGCTCAGTCTGCCCTACAGCACAGCAAAACACAAGATTTGGCTCCCTTGTGAAGTGAGAGTGTGAATTTGAGTTGAAATAGACACAGGAAGTTGAATTTGATTGAGACTTTTATATTGCATGCAAAAAAGAATCTATTTCAAACAAATGCGGTTCTTTTGAACTTTCTATTCATCAGAGAATTCTGAAAAAAAGTATCACGATTTCCACAAGAATATTAAGCAGCACATCTGTTTTCAACATTGATAATAATGATAAATGTTTCTTGAGCAGCAAATCAGCATATTAGAATGATTTCTGGAGGATCATGTGACACTGAAGACTGTAATGATGCTGAAAATTCTTTACTCCAGTAATGAACTTGGATTACTTTGATCACAGGAACAAATTACATTTTAAAATATATTGAAATAGAAAACATTTTTTTTTAAATTGTAATAATATCTCACAATATTACAATGTTTCCTGTAATTTTTCTCAAAAACATGCAGCCTTGGTGAGCATAAGAGAATTATTTTTTGACAGTAAATAATATAATTGTATTTATATATATTAATTATTATAAATATATATATATATAGATATAATTTATATATATATATACATATACATACTTCATTATATACATAATAATTAATAATATAATCGAATCATGTAATCTGTTCTAATATAGGCCATACGTTTCTCTATAACAACATATTTACGGTTCATTCATTTTAAAATTATTTTTCGTTTATTTTTAAAAACATTATAGCTATTATATAAATTCTGCTTTCTTACAGTAAAATCAAATGAATATTCTGTATTCTTCAGGCATTTATTGTAATATTCTTCTGATCTGAATAGTATACTTAAATTGTAATTTAAAGGCTTTCTCAGCTCCTGATTCTGAATCACAAAACCTGGTTTTGCTCCCTGTTCACACTGCAATCCAATCGCCACAGGTTGCCTGCCATTAGTGAAGATGATGAACTATGATGGCAGCACAGCAATACGAAGAAAATCTTTCCAGTGATCAATTACATGAGAGATCTGTGTGAGGAAAGCGCTAGCGAGGTGGTTTGCAGCACATTCGCCGTGGATCACAAAATCTGCTTGATCCAGCATGTGGGCGTAAATCGCCACAGCAATGGTTTAGAGACAAAGTCGGTAGAACATGGTCTTGTTTTCACCCTTAATATTTGTTATGCAACAGGGTGCTATCACCGACGCAGCAAGCATGAGGACTGTCTCTTTACTACATTAATATGATGAAGGATTTGAAGCTTATACACTGCTGAAAAGATCAGCATAGGTGATTGCATGGCCTGATATGCTATAATAATGTTGTGTCACTACATTGCAGCCATGGGTGTGCTGATGTCCAGGAAGCAGCAGGTGGAGAAGGTGCAGAAGTGCAGTGTGGTGGTGTCAGCGTTTAAAGACGGTCTGAAGGATCGGGCGGCCCCAGCAGATGCGGCCCAGACTGAAGAGGTCATAGCGGAGAACGGGGATGAATCTGCTGAAGGATCCCACCAGGCTAACAAAGACCACACTGAGCAGAAAGACAAGGACAGTAAACCAGGCTCATTACCAAATCAGCAGGCCTCAGCTTCATCCAGAGAGGAACACAGGGCCAATCAGGAGGCTTGGGGGCGTCTCCGTGACGGGAAGGGGGTGGAGCCTGAGGATCTAAAGAAGGCGCATCAGCTCACTCCTCCGACGTTTGTGCGGCCGAAGAGAGAGGTCGACGACGACCAACCGCTCGACGTCTCGCTTGGGCAAACCGAGCAGGTAAAATAGCCGAAAGGATCCATATTTGTAAATAATGATGATATAATAATTTCATTTGATTCTTTTTGGTGCTGCCCACTTTTCTCTTTATCTGTCATTAGGAGTGTGTTTACTGTAAAAGTTTTTATCTTTTGTTTAAATATATATAAACATCCTTATGACAATACATTTGTTACAGTATATATTCATCTTTGTTAATGTTAGGCGATAAATACAACTGTTCGTTGTTAGTTCACGTGTGCTCCATTAAATAATATTAACAGATGCAATTTTTTATTGTAATAATGAATTAAGAAATGTTGAAACTAACATATACTGTATGAGATGCAAGGGAAAAATAATAAATCAATGCTTTTGCATTCTCTTGCGTTCTCTCGCAAAACGTTTTGAGCTCTTTGCGAGCGAACACAAATTTTCTCGGCGGAACGCAAAACATTTGTGAGGGAACGCAAAAGCATCGACAAATAATTTTTCCTCCATCACATATTTTTTCCCTTCACCGTGTCCCTTTAAGGGGTTTTTCGCATATTTGGTGGAAAATGTATATACAGGTCCTTCTCAATAAATTAGCATATTTTGATAAAGTTCATTATTTTCCATAATGTAATGATAAAAATTAAACTTTCATATATTTTAGATTCATTGCACACCAACTGAAATATTTCAGGTCTTTTATTGTTTTAATACTGATGATTTTGGCATACAGCTCATGAAAACCCCAAATTCCTGTCTCAAAAAATTAGCATATCATGAAAAGGGTCTCTAAACGAGCTATTAACCTAATCATCTGAATCAACTAATTAACTCTAAACACCTGCAAAAGATTCCCGAGGCTTTTAAAAACTCCCAGCCTGTTTCATTACTCAAAACCGCAATCATGGGTAAGACTGCCGACCTGACTGCTGTCCAGAAGGCCATCATTGACACCCTCAAGCAAGAGGGTAAGACAGAAAGAAATTTCTGAACAAATAGGCTGTTCCCAGAGTGCTGTATCAAGGCACCTCAGTGGGAAGTCTGTGGGAAGGAAAAAGTGTGGCAAAAAACGCTCCACAACGAGAAGAGGTGACCGGACCCTGAGGAAGATTGTGGAGAAGGACCGATTCCAGACCTTGGGGGACCTGCGGAAGCAGTGGACTGAGTCTGAAGTAAAAACATCCAGAGTCACCGTGCACCGGCGTGTGCAGGAAATGGGCTACAGGTGCCGCATTCCCCAGGGAAAAGCCACTTTTGAACCAGAAACAGCGGCAGAAGCGCCTGACCTGGGCTACAGAGAAGCAGCACTGGACTGTTGCTCAGTTTTGTATGTCATTCGGAAATCAAGGTGCCAGAGTCTGGAGGAAGACTGGGGAGAAGGAAATGCCAAAATGCCTGAGGTCCAGTGTCATGTACCCACAGTCAGTGATGGTCTGAAAAAAAAAATCCACACCTCAAGCACAACCTCTCTTGACCTACTGTACATACATGGCTATTTACTCCATGAACATTCCATAACTACAACTGCATGAAAACGAACAACTCAACTAAAATAGTGGAGGGGTGTTGGTGGAGGTTATCCTTTCTTTCGGAGCTGAAACCTGCTCTGTGACGCACATACGTGAGAAAATGTCAAGATTGTGATTTAGGTAAGCTGACCCCAGCTCAGCCTAAATGGCAGCCCAGTTTTTGTTGAGAGTACGTGGGCAGTGGGTAAAGGCTGTGCAGGAAAAACCTGGCTGTGTGAGCTGTAGTGGCGTCTGAGATCAGTCCGGAAATTAATTGGGGTCACCGAAGCTTGCGGTGATGGGGCCAGGCCTCACTCACAGCGAGCCAGAGAAGAGCCACTCCACACAACTCCACTCAACAGAATGCTTTTGATTACCTCCAGTCTCTCTCTCTCAGCAGATATAAAAGACATAAGAGCAGGCAGAGTGAGATGCAATTGGGCTTGTCTTTGTGAGTTATGTCTAGATGCATTTGCTGATGTTCAAATTTGGTTCAGGAAAAAAACAAAACAGACAGAACTGCAATGAAAGAAAAACAGAACAGCTGGTGAACATAATTGTGATAAAGGAAAAAAAAATCGCTTTCACTTCGGCAAAGGGGAATAAACTTTATCTTAGATCACCTTAGGATACATAAAAATAGACACATACAAGAACTTTTCTTTGTCATATGAACTACAGTAGTACAGATTATTTGAATTTGGAAGAATTTGATGAGACATGTTTGAGTCCATAGTGAAATTTCTAATGTTTGATTGCAGATTTGGTATCTTGGCAAATCTGAGCACAGTTATGCTGACATCTCTGCGGTGACACTTGTGAGATTATAAGGGTCTTTTTTTTTTTATCAGCAGAGAAATCTGAGAAGCAGGAGCATGTTAGGCAGTTGCTAGGAGTTTTGAATGGGTTGCTAGGGTGTTACTAACTGGTCACTAATGGCCACAGAGTTGTTTAACTATGGGATTGCCAGGGTGTTCTGAGGGGTTGTTTGGGTGTTGCTGATGGTTAGAGTTCTGCAGTGGTTGCTGGAGTGTTGCTAGCTGACATTTAAGGGCTTCAGAGTGGTTGTTCTGAATGGTTGCTATGGTGTTGCTAGGGGGTTGTGGTGGTTGCTATGGGATTGCTAGGTTGTTACAAGAACAGAGCAAACATACTTATGTGTGTTTATATTTAAATAGTTTGATAGTTGGAGTGTGAATTTCTGAACATTCCATGACACTCATTCATTGTATGTCCATTTTTTAATAATTGATCTATTCAACTCTATAATCTACTAAAAACTGTGAGAATTAATTAATTCAGTTATTTTTTTTTAATAAAGCACGCTATGTCATTTGGTGGTCATATTTCCAGTCTGAATGTTTTAATGTGGGATGTTTTATTGTTAGCTACACCAAGCTACAAATATAATTTTTTTAATTTTTTTAGTTTAATTATTAGCAATTTTTTTAATGTGCTTTTGTCATTTGTATTAGTTTGTTATTTTTTAAATATTACTATTTCGTTTTTTATTTTTTATTCAGTTTTAGTTTTAGTTTTTATTTATTTCTAGTTAGTTCTTTAACTCAAACTTATTTCAGTAAGTTGCCTTATTTCAGTAGAAATGCAACATTTCTAATTTTCATTTGGTTAAAGTTTTTCATCTAATAAACAGTATATATTATTTTATTTCATTTTTATTTCAATTAACATGTATTTAAATCGTTTTAGTTAACGATAATACCACTGCCTATAAATAACCAAGGCGATGATGATAACCCTATAAAATGCCCAGATTTAAGTCCACTATACCATTCCAGTATTGAACAGCTCAGATGCTCTGAATCTGACTCCAGCTCTGCATCAGTACTCTGAGGCACACTGCCAAGGTGACGTCCTTTGGCTCTTCTGATCACCCCGGTTCTAAATACAGCACCTCTCCCCCGCGCTCAAATCACAATCCTCACTCTCCTCTGAGACACGTCACAATCTGAAGAGCAAGTGTGTCTGGTGCCTACACAAGAAGGCACCAGTAAATTTAGCATCTGGAATGTCTGACAATTTGATCCCTGGTTTCCTCTAGCCACAATATACTTAAAAAGTGTGTAATGCTCCAATTTAATAAGCAAAGGAATTAATTACTTAAGCCGATTAGTTAGCCATGGTTCTGGAGGAGTGGTTCTAGAAAAGCTAACTTTGCGTGTGCTCTTTAAATGCTTGGTTTGGTATGAACAAGAGATCAGTTCCACCTCCTTCAGTTCCCCTCCTTCCAGGTCTCTTTTCACTTTGTAATATATAGCTTTGATTTTACATTTGGATCGTACCAACTGGGAGCGCCGCTAGCTAAGTTGGGCCCTATGAAAGAATATGAGGTTGGGTCCCCTACCGCACCCATATCATTAATAAAATCGATCTCTGGGGGCCCCAAAAGTGCGTGGGCCCTTAGAATCATCCTAACTCCCCCTCCCCCTGTAACCGGGTAGACTCATAAAAACAGCTCTCAAACCAACTAAACTCCTAGAGACACTTGGGTCTGCATCAAAAGTCCTTAAAATGTTTTGTCTCCACACGTTTCCAAGGCTTTAAAATGTCTGACCCTGAGTTGCATTAATGTGACAGGTTGTCAATAATGTCCAGTCTCAACAGTCTGTCTCTGGATGGGCGACACTATACGACGAGCAGCATGAAATAAGACGATGCAAGATGCAGTTCATGAGACGTAGATTCCTTCAGGCAGCGATTGACCACCTTTAACGTCAAACACTCATTATTAAGATTAAGCCTTTTTTATCCCGGAAAGATCTGGAAAAGGTTTTTCATGCATTTATCTTTTCGAGATTAGACTCTTGCAACTCACTCTATGGTGTTCAAACTAAAATCTTGGAGAGATTACAGATGGTCAAAAATGCATCCGCAAGACTGTTGACAAGCCCTCGCAAATATGATCATATTAATTGTAAGATTTTATTATTTGTTTTTAAATCTTTACATGGTCCAGCCCCTCCGTATATTGCAGACCTGATTCAGGACCAGACATTTACGATTTCAGTCACAGAATCTTTTAGTTGTTCCAAGGGCGCATCTGAACACAAGAGGAGCGTGCCTTTGCAGGTGCCGCCCCAAGGTTATGGAACAATTTACCACAATATTTTAGATTATCATCAACCCTTAGTGAGTTTAAAAAGGCATTTTTTCATGTTAGCTGTTGATCACATGAGTGTCGAGGTACTGTTGTCACAGGAATCAGTTTTTTAGAGTCTGAAGATGTTTTAGATGTATTTAAGACTCTTAAAGGGATACTCCACCCAAAAATGAAAATTCTGTCATCATTTACTCACCTTCAAGTTGTTGCAAACCTGTATGAGTTTCTTTCTTCTGATGAAGACAACGGAAGATATTTTAAAGAACGATTGGAACTTTGGCACCATTGACTTCCATAGTATTTCATACAGGTTTGCAACAACTTAAAGGTGAGTAAATGATGACAGAATTTTCATTTTTGGGTGGAGTATCCCTTTAAGAGTCTGTGGGTATGATAGTCTGAGAGTAGATATTTTGCGTATATTCTTTATTTATAGTTATTTGTGTTTGTTATATTTTAATGTTTTATTGTTTGTGCAGCACTATGGTCAGCATTTTTCTATTATTGTGTGCTTTATAAATAAATTGGAATTGGAATTATACCTGTCGGAAAGTAACTAAAAGTAACAATGCTACTAACTTTCACTAATAACATTTTTAGAAGTGCTGTTTTGCTATGTTAAACATTGCTATATGTTCTTAAACTGCCATCTTGCTCGCTATTATTGTATTTATTAATATTTTCAATTAGCTGTGATTTATGTGATTTTGATTTTTAGTTAATATTTTGTGATTTTTGTCCTCATTTGTTTATACATTTCTTTTTTTAGCTTTAATTTAATTTATATTTATTTATGTTTTTGCTTTTCGTAAATTTAGAACTTCAACTTTAAACTAATTTTTTTCGGTTAATTGCCAAGACCATTTCAAATTTTAGTTTTGCTTTTTTAATTGTAAGTTTTTCAACCAATATTTAATATATATATATATATATATATATATATATATATATATATATATATATATATATATATATATATATATATATATATACAGGCCAGCTGACAGTCTTGCCTGGGCCCGGGACAAGATAATCTTAGATGGGGCCCCCCCACGATTTTTTTTATTTTTATAAAACACCATATACTTTTACCCAAAATGAATAATAAAAACACGTTTAAATGGGTACATTTTCTATAAATGTCATTTTCTTTTCTGACATAGCCTACTGCAGTTCTTGTTAAAACACACTAGACATGCATAATCTGTGCATTTTGGGCACTTTTTGTGTGAAATCATATTTATTTTTTGTCCATCAAAACAAAAGTGTGCTTTCACTTTTAGCATGAGCAGCACAGCAAAAATACGGATCTGACCCATTATCTGTTCACCGATGATGACGATGCATTTCAGCCGGCTTTTTATTTCTCATCTCCATAAATAGTAGTAAAGCTAATCCAAGGGCTAGAAATCAATGAATTCTTTGCTAATACTTCCTCGTCATCATGGAGAGCGCAGTTCGCACCGCTTTCTCCTTTCCACAAGCGTTTGCTCTCCCGTGGCGTCTGTCGTTGCTATGCAACAATGAACTTAGGCGCGCCTGTAAAAACGAGCGCGCCGCGTCGCTATTATGAGCTAATATCCTACATATTTCCATATGTGGCTCTTTCCTCCTTTCTTATCAACAAGTGGATTTACAGCCACCACAGCAGCAGCACCGCCGGTCGCCATGTCTCAGCGCTTTTATGAAGAGGACGCAACTGCACGCGCTTTGGGCATGCACGCGCATCCCGGGTTTGAGAAAACCTGGTACCGTGGCGTGACTTTTAAAAAGAAATTTGTACCGACTTGGTACCGAAGTGCCGGGTCTTTGACAACACTCATAAACGTTGGCTGCGCTGTTTCTTACCTTGCTCTACGTTGACTTTACTAACGTTAGTTCCAGCTTCACCGTCACCACCTTTTTAAAAATATTTGTTTAGGACATCTCGAAGGCCTCTATTTTCTTCTTCTCTTTTCTTTTCTTTTCTTTTCTGAGCACCGGACTTGTGCTGACCGGACATTTTGAGCGTAACGTTAGCCTACTGAACTTCAAATCAAATGACAACATCATATTTCGATCAGTGGCCAAACCATTTTTATTTGGGGTGGGGGGGGGGGGGGAGGGTTCTTGACCACTATTTCAAGGACAATTAGGAAGAAAACGAATAAAAAGCTTTTATGTAACTCAAATATTAGATATTTTTTCAACAAATATGCCTATTTTTTTTTTTTTTAACAATTATTCCATAATTTAATGAGGGCCCAGTTCTGGGCCCTCCTCCCTACCCTGGGCCCGGGACAACAGACCCGTTTGTCCCCCCCTGTCGGCGGGCCTGTATATATATATATATATAGCCTATATATATATATAAAGATATTTAATAGTTTTAGTTAACAATAACAACACTGGTTTGAGCAAGCTGCAGTTTCAATACTGCGGTACCCCAATACTGCTAGTTAAAGCAGTAAAGATGAAGCATTTTTAAAAGAGCAAAATTCTATTCTATTCTATTCTATTCTATTTCACAGTTTAGTATTCATAACACTTTAAATAAATTAAATTCCTGGGATCAGTAAAACGTTATCTTGTGCTGCATTCATCAAACCAGCATGACATCCTCATATCAAGAGATGAAAGCAAACCACATGCAGATTCAGAAGCTGTAGCCCAGTGCACCATAGGACACTTTAAATGAGCAGTGAATGTCAAGTAAGATTATTTCTATATTTGGTGACCTTTAATGGAAAGCAACTAATGCAGGGAGGTATAGAAGTTTGATCATAGAAGTGTTCGCTTTTTGATGAGTCTCTACCCATCCTGACGTGCAATTATGCATTTTGCAATGCGCTCTTGGGCCTTTTTCTCAGTGGATCAATAACAGTCTCGTTGCTAAGTAAGGAATGATTTGATCTGTCTTGTCTCTCATTGTTTTGCGATCAGCACGTCAATGATGAGATGTGTGAGGTGTGTGAGGTTTGGACGGCGGACGATCTGTTCCCCTGCGGGACGTGCACGCGGGTCTTCCACGACGGCTGTCTGCGGGAGATGGGCTACCTGAGCACTGAAGCCCTGCAGGAGATGAGAGAGACAGCCCACACCACCACCGGCTGGAGCTGCTATTACTGCGTGAGTTCTCTCAACACTCTCTCATGAGTACATATGCACAAAATCACATACAAACATATTTACAAGCACATTTTACATCACTGGCTGTTTGAAGTTGTTTCAGAGCTATTACTGTAAAGTACATGTCTTTCAGTCTGTAACAATGACCTGTTCCGGAGGGATCAGTGGCATATTCAGCCTATAATTATCTGTGCGGCTGTCTTAAAGGAACAGTTTACTCAGAAATTACAACAACATGATTGTGACATAGTCGTGGTCACTATGAACTGGCATTGTCTCGAGAAGATTCATATAGGTTCTTTAGAACCTTTTCAGTGATCCTATAAAAATAATTTAAAAAAAACCAGCGCACAGGTTTAGAACAATAGGCGAGAAAAAAAATGGCTTGATACATTTTTGCGTGAGTGAACTGTCCTTTTAAATAGCATTATGAAATAGCATTCACAAAGCATATCACTTCTGTAACATGACATATTTCCAATTGAAATATTCAGTGGGAGGTAATGAATATACTGTATATTTTGGGATTTGATCGGATCGTGCCATTTACACGGACGGACTAAGATGATAGATAGATAGATACATAGATAGATAGATAGATAGATAGATAGATAGATAGATAGATTTTTTATTGTAAGTGCACACATACTGTTTTTAATTACAAATGGGTCCTTATCAGTGGCGTAACGAGCCAACACCGGGCCCTTATGCAGGATTATCAAGGCGGGCCCCCTACTACAACAACACGTGATGACGCAATGTCCACGAGTAGGCTTTTGCATGCAATACGCAAGGAACTGTTTACACCTGGCCACTTCATGCTTTTTCTGTGATCGTATAGCTATCCGATCGTGAAAAGACCAGGTGTAAATTCCCTTCAAAACGCATTCGAGACGGATTTGAATCCGGTCGCTCAAACCACTTCAGGAGGTGGTCTGGGCCGCATTCCAGACGACACTGGACAAGTGTAAATACATCTGGTTGTTGAAACCACATATGTCAATTTTACTCCTCTAAAAATGCTAAAAAAAATAAACGTGTGAGAGCGTGGTATAGGCTATATGTCAGTCAGATACGACGCTTCTGCAACAACACGCATCACCGCAGATGAGCATCTATTCATCAAGCCAACGCACAAACTATCGCAAATCAAAGTGAAAGTAAGTCGCAGACGCTCGCTTAACACACAATCATCTTCATTAAAAGTAAAGAAACGAAATGATCTTACCAGTACTGTTGCCGCTCTCTCTAATTGCGGTCTTCGATTGAGACATTTTAGCTGATGATCAATAAAATGCAGCTTATCTGTTGCTTTCGGTGACGTGAACTCTATTAAATCTGCATATAGCGCGGAAATTGAAGATCGGATCTATATCTGTTTTGCAAAAACACATTTATGTGACCAGCTGTAAATGGAATCGTTTTGATAAATCAGTAGCTATCCGATCTGAGAAAACGCATGAAGTGGCGCGCGCGTGTAACGTTAAACAGCCGACCCGGGGATTCCCCAGTCCCAGCTCAAAACAAATTACACCAAAATCCATGATTGTTCGTTTCACACATGTATTTAATGATCTGTAAAATATGTTGTTGTCATTATATATTTAAAACAAAATCGTGATAAAGTAAAATGCGATCAAACTAAAAGTAGTAATCTGCGATAGGGGGCCCCGGCTGTCAATCAATATCTTCCAGTCAAGCGGGCCCCTGATTGGTCCGGGCCCGTAAGCAACCGCGTACCCTGCTTACCGATAGTTACGCCACTGGTCCTTATACAAAAAAGGCCTTCCTTGGCCTGGAAAATTTCTACAATATATTTGTCTATATATGGGTTTTCCTTCAGCCTTAAGGTTCAGTCACATTAGCGTAATTTCAGCTAAAATTAGTGGACATGAAAGGTCAACAGTGTGCTGATCTCTGAAGCTCACTCAAAAGTCAACTTTTAAAACCAAGCAGATTTATGTTGGTCAAATTATAGATATGTAAACAGAAGAGCAAAGTTGAGAGGGACAATAATGACATTTATTGGGGACCATTTATAAGGACCAGGGACAAACTAGGGCTTCTTTTAAATATCCTTATTCTTTAAAAAGTGCTGATAAAGTGATCAAGCATATAAACCACCTGTTGCCCAGCATATATTCACAGATCCTTACCCTGTGCAGCTCCTTGCAAAGGTCAGCGTGGAGATGAGCATGTCAAGATGATGGTGTAATGCTAGAGAGTCTGGGCTTTGTTCAAAGTGCTCTTTCTCCCAGCGTTAGAGGAGTCTGGCTCTAAAATGAAAAAGTGGGCTGCCAAAGCGTGCAAGCGTCCTTCATCGTGAAGTAGAGCGCTTATCTTGGTCGCACAGGCTGCTGATGCTTAAATCATTTGTTGAGCGAGTAAGACATTTTTGTAGCACTCTGAGGATGCTTCTACACACTCCAGATGCACTCGCTGCTTTCCAGTAGACTCACACCATCAAATGGGATGTATCCCATGCTGCATTGCAAACATTAACAGCTGTGGACACATCCCTCAATACAATATGTGAAGCGGCTTGTTGTTGGCGAAATGTCTGGCGTGTATTTCCTTGGAGGGCTATTCACAGCTTATGTTTATGCTTATATTTTCTCAGTCTGCCCTTGCTACAACCTAATCCACGTGTGTGTGTGTGTGTCGAGGACAAGAGTTGAGACTAGGTATTACGCTTTCAAGGGACACATATGTTTGACTCCATTCAATATCTGGCCCACTCAATCAGGAGCTTGGCCCACTCTGGCCCTACGCCAAAAAAAGTCCAATTGCAAAATTGGTGCTATGTTCAGTTCAGCTCTAGATTTGGAGGGAGATCATGCTTTTCCCAGTGCAGTGGGACAAACTAGGGCTTAATGTGAAATGAGAGCGGGATGGGGAACTCTTAGCATGAAATTTAGCATCAGTAAGTGTTAACAAGAAGACCGTGGTGGAAAATTAATTAAGAGTCCAGGCTTGCTGGTCAAACTGATTTTGGCACTTGGCGTCAAATGTGGGATTTGCCATTCAATAGAACAAGTACTGTGATTAGTCGTGTGACAATTTAGATATTTACAGCCCTTTCTTAATAAAATCTCAAACTGATATGACATGCACCTGGTGTGGAGATATGCTTATATCTCCACACTTTTGAGAAGAGCTTCAAAAGTCATTGATGACGGCGAACGTCAACAAAGAAAACTTTGAGCTGAAGCAACATATACACAAAGTCAAAAGGAATAAGCTGTGTATTATCTTGCTAGCTAGCTGTTCCCCTTTGCGAGTGTCACGGGTGGTTGCTGGCAGACAGATGAGGAAGACGTATACAATTCAATTCAAAAGGTTTATTCTCTAAAGATCTAACAGGAAGGCAAACGGATAGCAACACACACCAAACATAGACAATACCGGACACTGAACTGAAACAGAACTGTGAACATACAGTATTTACAGGTGTTAATGATGGTGACTGATGAGTGCACAGCAGAATGTGATTAGTGTCCGTGACAACAAATGAGTGACAAAGGCAGGTGATGACAAAACATAACGAGTCCAAACTAACGTAAATGTGACAGCGAGGACATTATTAGGGGATTTTTTCTCCTTCTTGTTCTGAAATCTTTTGAGGTTTGTGGTTTGAAAATATCACCCAGCAGTGGTGCATTGTGCTGAAGTTGCTGTGTTGTATGTTTTTTTTCTGTTTTGTGGCTAGTCCAACTGTGCTTGTGTTCTTTACGCTGGTATCATCTTTTTGGCTTCCAGTGGAATTTACATTTCTTGGAGTTTCAGCAAACAATGAGGTTTAAAGGGATAGGCAAGCTTGAATTTATATTGCTGTTTTGTTTCAAAATGGACATGTAGCAAAGTAATGAGTTTAGTTATAGGGGTGCAGAGCCAGTGGTTGTTCTGTAGGCAAACATCAGTGCCTTGAATTTAATGCGAGTGGCAATTGGCAACCAGTTTCTGAAGAGAGGTGTTACTTGTGCTCTCTTCAGCTCGTTAAAGACTACTCTTGCTGCAGCATTCTGGATCAGTTGCAGAGGTTTGATAGTACCTGCAAAGAGACATGACAATAGTCTGGCAAGAGCTTGGACAAGGAGTTGTGTAGCATGCTCTGATATGAAGGGCCTGATCCTCCTAATGTTGTATAAGGCAAATCTGCTGGACCGGGCAGTTATTTATGGTTGACGGACCTAGCTGAATGGAGAAGTTGTGATGATATGTTGGGTTGGTTGAGACTACAAGCAGTTCTGTCTTCGCAAGGTTTAGTGGTGGTCCTTCATCCAGCAAGAAATGTCTGTCAGGCAGGCTGAAATGAAGGACCCTACCTGAGAGGTAAGCCTTGGAGTGCAGTTCCTGAGATGCCCTTCATCATGAAGGTTGACAGGTGGTTAACTGTGAAAAGCAGCAGACAGATCCAGCAAGAAGAGTACTGAGGACTGGGAAGCTGCTCTTTCCAGTCTCAGAGCTTCAATTACCGAGAGCAGGGCAGTCTCAGTTAAGTGGCCGCTTTTGAAGCCAGACTGGTTGTTGTCCAGGAGGTTGTTCTGTGTAAGAAAGGTAAAGACTAGGTTGAACACGACTTGTTCAAGTGTTTTAGTAATGAATGAAAGAAGAGATGTAGTCTGTAGTTTTCTAAAAGTTCTGGATTTAGAGTGGGTTTCTTAAGCAGTGGGGTTACCCGAGCCTGCTTAAATGCTGTGGCAACGGTACCAGCGTGAAGAGAGGTGTTGATCATGTGAGTGAGTGCAGGTACAACTGAAGAAGAAATTGCTTGAAGGAGATGAGTGGGGATAGGATCAGGCGGACATGTAGTAGGATGATTGGAAAGGATGAGTTTGGAGCCCAGAGCAGAGAGCAGGAGGGGAGTGTGTGTGTGTGTTTGCTATTAAGATGTGTTTGTCAGTTTGTGGTGTGGAGAATTGGCCGCTGGGTAGTCACTGGTGACTTGGAACTGGATGTTCTTGCGGTGCCATCAGGCAATCAGTGTTCTCATGATGTAA